AATCGTGATAACTACAGCTGAAATCGACGGCTGAGTCTGTGCTGTTATATCTCCAATTGCACATGAGATTATAATGCGAGTGCATAATATAATAATTACTTACAGTGACGTAACTTGGAGTAAATTCTGGGAGGGGGGGGGGGTAGGCGGTAGTACAATTAAAAATGCATTAATACATAAATAAATAAATAATAATTAATAATTCAAACATTTTTTTATTTTACATTGTAAAACTGATAAAATCAAGTCAACAAAAATCAAGAAAAGTTTTACTTACCTATTACCATTGGTTATAAATAATATAGATAGCCCACTGGCATGTATTTTTTGCTGCGCGTAAACTGTTGCCGTTGTAGAGCGATTTATACTGTTTTTGGTTTAGACCCTCCTTGCCCCCCCCCCCCCAGATTAAGCCTATGGTTATTAAGAGCGCGTGCAACAAACGGCTGACTGGTTCCGGAAAATAGTAGATTATAATAATATTGCACAGTTTGCGCGCGGCTGGTCCGAGGTAAACAATAATAATTCTTTCGGGTCCACCCAAAAGTCGAAAACCGTTATATTTAATGTAACCAATGGTTACGACAGAGGACGACGACGTCTTTAGCGGAAATAACACATTTGGACGGTTTCGAAAGATCGCACGACAAGCTTAATACAGGATCTAGGATGTATAAGACTTGTATTATGCATATTACGAACAACGAAAGCCTACAATTAAACGGTCGTCTGCACAGTCACCGGCCAAAGCAAACCGATTACCGTACATAGTCGATTCTAGTCACTTATATTTTTCTATGTATATTTTAACTTTAATATCAGCAGCTTTAAAATGTTAAGCAGTGTTTTGATAAAATCTCACGGCAGTCGTCGCCATCGTCCGGTACACGTGTTCGTCTTATATCGGTGTCGATTAGTCTGCCGCAATCCAACTATGGTGGAACAACAAGCCCTACAGCCGTGCCGTTATAACCGACACTTATGATAACGCCAATCGTCTTAGCCTGTAATTTAAAACCGCGTTCCTCGCGGCCAAAAAACAGCTATCAATTATTTGAATATACCTAACGGCTAACCGATTAAAAATTGTCCACCCTGTAGTGAATAGTCAGTAGATTCCTGATATATTGTTTGTAGGAGAATTCATGTACCTTTTCTGCGTTTTCACCTGTAAACCGTTGTCTAGATATGGGTCGGCGATGCAGTATTGTAGTTAGAACTTTTGTCTTTAGGTATACATCAGTTATCACTCCATGAGGATTGAGGAAGGATAATAATGATAATTAAAAAAGTAAATTTTAAAACATTAAATTCTTAAAATACAAAAACAAAATTAATCTAAAAAAATTATACTACAAATGTATGTAAAGTCATAAATTTCTTACATTATTTACAAGCAAATAAAGTTTTCAGATTGTAAAAAAACATAAAATACTAATAACAAATACAAAGGCAATATTAATGTTTAAGAATTACGTTTTACTAATACTCAGTACCTTTTTATATATTTTTCAAAAATTGGGACAGTATTTTTTTAATTGCTTTAAGCATACCACAAAGTTAAATTTCGACCACATTTCCAGCTCTTAAATTAAAAATTTGTCCAAAAACAAATTAATGGAAATTGAACTCGTACTCCTGCCTCCTGGTAATGTTTAATAAATATTTCCGATTCCCAATGTTTCTTCTACATAATACTCGTATATACAAAATCGTTTAAAAAAAAATTCAAAAACTTTAAGAATTATTTGTCCCAATACTATAACATGCTAATAATAACAGTTCTAATTTCATAATTCTTTGAATTTTTATTTTTTTATTTTGACGTAAACATATTAAAGAGAACAGAATCCATACGCTTAGACTGCTGACCAGTCCGACCCTGAACAAATTTGGATATTTAATTTATTATTAGCTTAATTTTGAGCCATGCGCCTTTTCCTTTGTACCTACTTCGCATGTTTGGGCCCTGTGGTACAACGAACCTCCGGTTAATTCTGCACCGGATATAGAATGATTCGCAAACACATTTATGGGAACACGAAATTCAATAGATCTCCTTAACTGAGCGGTCAAATATATTTTTTGTGACCTACTAGACGGCACACAATAACGATGCAGACAACTTCGGCTGGTAAGGAGCATAATAAACACAGTCGTTGTACTTGACCGCTGTATTTGTCCAGTTTGTGTACACAGCGTTAATAAACTGACTACACGCGGTACACAACAATATAATAATAATAATCAACCGATATAACACGTGTTTTTAAATGTTTTTTTTTTTTTTGGTTTCCTTGAGCACACTTGACGTTTGAACAAGACCGTTGCCGTGGTCGTCGGTAACTGTACATTTTCGAGTGTGCGGTGGTCATCAACTGCAGAGATAGGGCAGTCGACAATCACAAGACTTAAGTATATATAATGTACACGCCAGACAAGTTAGGTACGGAATAACGGGAAACGCCGTTGCCGCTTCCGTTGACGACTTTGGAATACTTTCGCCAGTCACAGATGATAGATCACGCTCGTTTCTTCTTCTTATTATTATTGTTATTGCCGTTTAATTGCGGCCAGTTAGGTCAGATACGTGTGTATGTGATCATTGGGTGGACAGTGGCTGGAAGCGTCTTGTTATAAAACAAATTGTTTTTTTCACCATAATTTGAATGCCATTTTGTGGGTTTTTTTCTCGAAAACCATAGTTTCTTCCATCGAATCGGCGACGGTTCCCGTTTTGTGTCCGTGACGATCGGGTAATAATCGTTGCCCTCGGCTTGTCCTATGACGTTGACCACGACTGTGTTGGAATAATAATAATAATAATAATTATTGCTTGAACAAATTTTCCATGTCGCCGTCGTCCCGTAGTTCGATTAGGTCCACGGCGAATGCCTCGGACCAACGACAGACAGATAAGAATAAACGCAAAACGGTTTGTTGTTTGCTTAAGCAGCTGCTAGTTGCTACGCGGAAAACATAATTTTGACAACAGCAGCGATTGTAGCCTTCCGACTACGAATCGCCTCTCGCGGGTCGTTAACTCGACGATTCGAAACGAGTATTATTATTACTGTTGTCAGACCAAATTCAAGTATCGATTCCGTTATTAGCGCAGTATGGTCGCGCTAACAAAACGCCGAATGTAAATTGGGCACAATAATATTAAAATACAACACGGACCACTATAGCCAATTGACATAGAAGAACTACTGCTCAACCATTTAGTATTTTTTACACCGCGACCGCAATGCTATAGCCACAATCTAAACAAATTAAATTTAAAAAAAAAATGTATATCCGCTGTTGTATTTACGCGGTTTATATTATAGAGATTAGAAGAAATTGTGTCCAATTAGATGTACTCTCACACTCGTGTGCGTGTTCAGTTTACTATTGGAAAAGAGAAAAGTGTGACATTTTAGTGTAACTATGGACTAATTCGTTTGTTAAGTCCAGAATAAGGCAAATTTGTTTCGAAAAAAAATGTAATTGTAAGCTTTTGGACCCATGGATTATCTCACATAACGTGCCATACTGATGAATGATGATAAATAAAACCAACTAATATTCGGTTACATTAATAACGCCATGTTACTTGTTAGTATTTTAAAATATCATATATAGTATCTTCAATATTATACTTAACCGTTCATCGTATGTATAATTTAGAGTATGTATTATACCGAAATCTGAATAAATCTATTGACTTTTATTATTGTTTTTTTTATTAAAAACAAATTTATAACTTAACTGTTTTAACAGATATTGGTTTATGCTACATTTAAACATTACAAGTATTACTGTTTACAAAATAAAAAGAACCGTATTTTTATTTTGAACGAGACTTAAGTAAAAAAATAATGACTTTCGAAATTGTTCGTTATATACACACAGTATATTATTTAGCCTATTCTCATTAGCAGTCAACGCGCTTATAGAAAATAGGACGTGAAAAGTAAAAAGGACGTAAAAAGTGAATTAGCGTTTTATAAAAATTGTTGTAACGTTTCGCTATTGCCTATTGGTGGTGTCACGAAACGATTTCCTGGGTCTCCTCATAATTTATTCTCAGTGCACGATATATTTGTTTTGGTCTATGAAATCAATGTATATGCCAATCACGAATATGGACGACCAAATCATAATAATAATACTACGAATGAACCGTCGCGTCGCCACACTGGTCATCGTTTATTTGTTTGTTTTTTTGGGGCCCAGAGCGCTGTCAATTGATCTATGCGATCACTTTCACAAGACTGTCAAATAATCCCACGTGGGCCTACGAGTCAAGGTTAATTATTATTTATGGGCTTATTATTCACTATTGTTAAATTCTCGTTTCAATTTAGTCGTTTGGCATATTAAAGATAATAATTTCCTTCATTCTTTTTAATTTCTGTGTGTTTTAATTTTTGAAGAAAGCCGTTTTGATTTATTAATGTACATTTAAATAATCATCCGTGTTGACGGCAAACCGACATGTTATTTTCAGATAAAGACGCAACCATCGCGTGTGCTTGTAGTGGATTTTTCGAATTATCTAGCAGCAATCATCTATGTAATTTGTGAAGCTTATATTATTACGTCTATTCGAATAACTCCCAGCAAATCTTGCATGTTATAAGTCTTTCTCCGAGTACAGTAATGTGTTAGTGGAGAGGAAGGACGACGCATAATTCAAATAAGATGTCCATTTGCGTTTGCATTTTAATCTTACTATCCGCAGCTATAATTGTAAATAAAATTAAAAAGTAGTAAATTGCGTTCGCCTTTATGTGATTTTCTCATTTAACTACAAACCGAATTTGCCATCTAGACAGCAAATGCGGTTTGTAATGAAAACAAACTACCTCTGTTTTTGTTGAGCTTTTTAAAGATAAAATTATGTACTCGCACGTTTCACGCTATATTAAATAGTTTCTCCACAGACACAGCAAAAGAGTATAATTATTTTCAAAATGTTGTCAAAAAGTTGGTATAATAATATTTTTTTGCAGAGGCTATTGGACGGTAGAGAGACCCAGACAGCAGCCCAACTACCATGCGCTACGCCGAGCGTGCCGTGAGCGCGGTTCTCTATACGAAGACCCAGACTTCCCTGCCGGTCCCAAGTGCCTTTACAGAAACAAGCGACCGGCAATTCAGCCTATTGTATGGATGCGACCACATGTAAGTCAACATATTATACAATAATCGTATTTATATATTATATACCTATCATAGTTAGTATACAAAACTATTTGTATATAGGAGTGACACTGTTTTGTTATAGAACATTTAACCGCTTATTCCCTCACTGTTGAGGAATCCGTCTCGACTAGCATAATAGCCAGTTTTGATAACCTTAGCATCGTAACCCCATTAATTACATTGATTTTGATTTAATTTCCCCATTAGAGTTCAGATATGAGCCTACTGCCTACGCCAACATAATCTTATATATTTATTATATATATATATAATATATAAATATATATATGTAATATATATATGTAGACTTAATATTATGGTGATGATGATACAGACGTTTATGTTTTGGTTTACCTTTGTAAGTCAGGTAGCAGGACACGTTCGTTATTAATGCACATACTCTAGTAAAAAAATGTACGTGGGTTAAGGTGGTTTTGATGTTTTTATGAAATTAATTTGACGTGTTTACACGGCATTCATTAACTTAATCGATATTCAGAGGAATACCATTTGTATGTAACTAGGTGTAGGTAGCGAGTGAACGATGATCAACGCATTACTGTGCAAGTAAACCTGTACTACAACTAATTACTGGGTTACACGAACAACAATTAATTAGTATATAACTGTCACAACCTCTTCGCTTAACTCAGAAGAAATTATATTATTTTGTTTTAATTAATTTCGTTTTAAATAATTTCATTGATTAAGGCATTATTATTAACTCGATAATGCGGTGTATTGTACGGTTAAACTTCTACTTTTTACAAACCTCAAAATAGCCTTTTGAATGGGTAATTGTTATTTTGCCATTTATATTGGTTTAAGTAACATAACAAATTCTACTACCATATTGCTGCAAATTTTAGTTAAACCAAATAATATTGTTTGAGCTTCGATGCGGAGCTGAGAAAGTATTGTATTCACAATTATGCTTTTTTTTTTAAGTCTGGACTTAAGATATCTTTTAAACCGCTGAATCGATTTCTTCGTGTAGCAACTCTATAGATCAGAAATCGTACCTGAAAGGTACTTTATTGGGTCAAAATTTAATAGTCACCACTTCCTCATCAAAATCGAGAAAAACACCAAACAAATGTACATGAATTAAAATTACAAACCTCTATAACTTTTTAAAAAATCATTCTTAAAATATCATTTATTTTTAGCTTCGATGCGATAAGATAGATTCAATGAGAAGGTACCCACGATTTCTTTTAAGCCACTGGACCGATCAATTAGTTCCAAATTTGTATAAAATATTCTTAAGACATAGTAGTATCGACAAACGTTGACAATCTAAACAATTATTGTACACCCTTTCTCCTAGAAGGAGTGGAATTTTTTCATTCTTTCGTTTTTTCATGCAGTTTTAGGGGGTTTAGTTATGAACATTAGGACTATAACATACACAATTTACTCAAAAATCTGTAGTCAAACATTTTTTTTTATTATGAAAAACCCAAAAAAATAGGGGAAAATTACAGTTTGACCGTAGTCAGTTATTAGGTTGCTATATGACATATAGTATATGTGGTTTATACATACTTTCCACAGATTCGCACCGAAGTGTTTATTTAAAAGTAATTTTATCACTTTTAGTTTTAATAATTCCTGTAGACCTGGGACCTCTCCATCCCCACTATGCTTCGACCCCACTGTACTAGCTTTTTTTTTGTTATTAGTATCTTTTTATTATTGATATTTTTTATGTTATCCCCGAGATGCTGACTGAACCGGTCATTTATGCGTTATAATGCAGACGTCTTAATCAATGTTTAAAATTATAACAGCAGTCTATTTTTTGAAAAGATTAATAGAAAAAAAATAACGATGAAAATAGGATATTATATATTATGGTCGTGTGAAAATATAATTTTTCGTTAGGTCTGTTCTGTATTAACCGCTACTATACCTACATTTGTTTTAACTAAAAATGTTTTTAAAAAGACAGCATATTGAGTTCGAGACATCGTGGGGTCACGACTCCTAACCAACCGGTTGGTGTAGTCGTAAGACAGGAAGAATTATTATAAGAGTTATTATTATCATAATTATGACTGAGAATGATGAAATCACTAAAAAAAAACATTTTGATGTGAACGTGAAGTATATTATCTTTTGTAGGCATATTTATTAATTAATTAAATATCGATAAAAATTATTCTAAAGAAAAATGTGTTAAAAACTATATTTTTACAATTTTAAATTAGAGTCGATTATATGATTATGGTTGACTGTCTAGGTTTCCTAACAATTTGTTGTCGTTGTTACTGATAGACAAATCAGCAACATAATGAAAATTGTTTTCGGATACCAGAGTAAAAAATGGTTAGGTTAAGTTGAGGTTAGGATCTTTGAGAAACTTGTAACTGTTATAACCCCACTCTAGAATCTAGACCTACTTTTAGTTTTGTTTTCAGACCTTTAGTCTTAAAACTAGGGCTCAAAAAGTAAAAATATGAAAAAGTTTCCATCCCTTTTAAAGGAGAAGGGTTTTTAAAATATTTTTTTTTGGTTTATCAGTATATTGGTAGTACCTACTATACCTAAAGAATATTTCATACAAATTTGAAACTATCTCGAATATTCTTAAAAAAAGTTATAGCATACTATAGTTTTAAGTTGAAAATATGTCTATCATTAGGTGTTCTCAATTGTGAAGGAGGAGGAGTGAATTTTGTAAATTTGTAACCCAACAAATTATCTTTCAGATCTATAGATTTTCTACATGCAAAAATCTATTATCAGTTCAGCAATTTAGGAGGTATCGCGAGTCGTCTCTTAAATTTTACAACGAAGCTAATAGTTACATAATATTATCTAAAATAATGGATCGTATTTTTTTCAGAATACATTTTTCGGTTTGAACCAAAAAACATATAGATTATAATTATGTTATAAGTTATAATTTAAAAGTTGTTAAGTATGCATTAAAAAATAATATTATTTGGCAAGCACATTAACAACTCTGAAACATATTGTGCTGTAAGTCTAAATCTATTTTATATTATAAACGCCGAAATTGAATTTTAATTCGCACAACAGGGCATGCAGTAAGCAATTATAAATGAAACAGTAAACACTCAAGCATGCAAACCGTTAAATCTTGATTGCATAAAATAATGCATAATACATATTATATAGTATATTTTATTACTATTGTTATCATCATTATTAATCATTTATTAATTCGTTGACCTCTTGGCATTTTTAATTATTAACGGCTTGGAGACGTCGATACCTTCAGGTGTGTGTGATGGATAAATCAATAAACAATTATTATTATTAGGTTTGTCAATTACTATTGTGAATATGTATTAATGCCAAGTAGGTACAATAAAAAAAAACTGACACGGTACAAAACTATAAAGTAAACGAAAGAGTATTATAATTAGAGGTGGACTTCGATACAAGATATAAAATCTTAATACTTGGTACAGCTTTATTATTTATTAATAAATTAATTGATCGATAGAATGTAATTTAGACTTATTGATACCTATCAGTTGAGACTTTTTGCCTGTCTCTAATTACAATATTTCAAATTTAAATTATTACAAAATAAGATGTCAAAGATACAATGCATTACTGCTATAATGACGGTTCTCAACGTTGTTTTAGTTTAAAAATATTAAACTTAACTTAACTTAACTTTAACTATGTTGTTGTGGTAAAGATCATAAACGGACTCATTAGAGATATTCTTCGGCTCATAGTATAATTGTCACATTAATATTGTAAGTCGAGTTTATTATATGCGGTGTATCGAAATGCCAAGGTTTATTAGTATATATACTTATAGGGAAACAATATAACAATTTTATCAAATGTATTCTTTGGTTCCTTTAACGGCGCAGGAAACATTTGTTTCTTTCCATTTTCAAATGTGTGTAGAATAATATAATTGATGCATTGAGAGAATACAACAGTGGCGGTTCATGATGACGCCCTTAGGAAATAACACGCTAGATCTTGCCGCCCAGACACTAGACCATCATCAAAATATGATGATTACGGTTTAAGTATAATATATATATATATATGTAACATTGTTACGTTCATGTATATACTTTATACATATGTGGGGGTTTTTTATGTGGAAAATAACCGCAAGCACTGACAACCTAGTCTAAATCAAATTTACCGGTGTAACACTAGTGTTTAAGCTATTAGGTCGCATTTATTATCTTGCCACCGGCTCTAAAGGAAAAGGTTATTTATTAAAACTTAGGTATATTACATAAAAACATCCGTCGGTTTTTATATAATTTTACACGATTTTCATCCAGTTCAAAGCTCATTGCACGCGTGTCGAATATGCAGTGTTCCATGAGACTCATAATCTGTCAGCTGCAGTGACGTCTTTACCCTAATGGCACGGGGGCACGACCCCATGGACCCCGGCCTGATGGGGCCCCAAATAATATAATTTACATCTTAACGTTTTTTTTTTTTTTTGGTTTTCTTACATGAGACTGCCCTGGCTGAGAGAAATTCTTTCAGAGACCCTCTATAAATAATTAATAGTAATAATTCATTGTTATACAGTAATACAATACAATAGGTTTGAAATGTTGTGTATTTTTCGAATAATTGGTATTATACCACTTTGATTTAATACCTTTCTCATGTGTTCATGTAAGCGTGTATTTAGACGTTGGTTGTATATTAGTTAATACAGATAAACAGATTTAATTGTTTCAAAATATCATTAAAAATAATGTGTTTTACTAGTCTTTATTAAACAATATTATTGCTCGACAGCTCTAATAGTATCATATATTTTTAATTTGAAATCAATTTGAAGTAAAATTTAAAACAATAAAAAAAAAAGGTAAAATTAGTAAAAAACAATAATACTATCGTCGTCCGCCCTGTATACTGCAATATTTACATTATTACAATGTTAATACTTATTGTATTACAAAAACAAATAATATTACTAAACATTGACTAGGTTTACTACATAAGTAAACAGTCAAAGACAAAATTAGTGTTCTTTAAGGACAGTCAAAGTCTTTATACATAAATTAGTACAGCTAGTAATTGATGAAAACGTAGGTTATGTTGGTTTTTTCTGTGCCATGTAAGATACTGGACGATGTATGGAATAAAGTGATAAAAACTAATCGACAAAAACGCGTCAATTCCGAGAACATTAAAAAAAATACACACAAATTAACTGTTAAGTAGTATTTCGTGTGCGAATAGTAAATACGTAATGATGTTTCTCCATACCGAGTGCGCATGAAGTGAGCGCAATCATTTCCGCTGTTTTAAGACTGCGGTGTTAACCATTTAAAGTGCGCTATTCCTAGTCCTCAAACAAAAAGTAAACTATATTATGAATGCTAGTTGTTTACGTTACATAATACTAATAAGCAATAGTACTGCAAAATAGTAATGACGTACTACAATTATTGTCTATGTCCCGTTTATTAATAGTCAAACTCTTAGTTTGGCGAATAGAAATGTAATTTTTGTAAAATTTGAGCTATGTTGACAATTTTACTTGAAAAAAACAATCGTCGAAACCCGATTACCTAAAGCAACGCTTAACATGTCAAAAAGAAATGTCAACACAACATTGCGCGGACAGCAAAGTATAAAATTAATACTACAAAATCACGAACATTTTTAAAGAATATTTTTTTTTTAATATTTATGGTTTGCTATAAATACACAATAATATATGTAAACAATAATGAAATAAAACTATTAATACATATCTAATCTAATTGGGAATAAATTAATTAAAAAATGAAAATAAAGTAGTAATCTTAAAAAACAAATACACAAGTGATACAAAAATATAAAAGTGATAAATGTCAAAAGGCTATCCCGAATATTACTAGTTGTGTGAAAAAATCAATAATATTGTTATTATTATACGAGGCTAATGCCCTGGTCGGGTGGGGAGGGATAACCTTACAGTGTTACGTGCTCGTATGTATAGGGGTATGGAATGAAGGCCTATTTCTAGAGTTTTAGGAAGAAGTGGCAAAATGAAATATGCTATAAGAAAGCTATCATCGGTTGTCCCACGGAGAATTTAAAAAAAGTTAACATCTAAAAAGAGCCCTAGAACTCAGAGTAAATATTAGTAAAACTACAGTTAAAATCTTGTTAACATAATTTTTATCTATAATATTATTTTAATTTATTTGTTTTGTGCTCTAATGTATAGACCCCATTTATGGCGATGTTGTAGCTATAATTATTTTTCATCATTTTGTAAGATTTATATGACTATAGTTATTATATAGTTAGATTATAGTTATTATTATTATAAAGATTTATAATTCAATTATCTAACCTCATTCATAAGACAACATAATACTAATTTAACTGATAATTAATATTTATCAAATTTTAATATAAAATGGAAATAAATGTCTTATGTGACCATAAATGGGGTATCCTCCCTCTACCCATTGTATAGGGTTATTTTAACAATGTGGAAAGACCGGTTAGATCTTAGGAACACATATCCACTGGCTAAACGACCATATTGATCGTGTAGATAATTTTCTTAAATCGATGACTTATAAAGCAAATTTCTAGTCAAACGTCCAAGTAGTTTGCATACTTGGTGGTAATTTATTTATTTATATTTTTTGGATTGTAGGTATGTGACTTGCCGCTCATAAATCATTTTTTTTTTTATAATAAGACCGGACATAGCGGCATAAGCATGTGGGTGAACACAAGTGCGCCGAGGACTTGCCTATTCGCCTTGCCGGTCATTAGCGCGTGTAGATTATATTGGAAAGATAACATTTACCGCGTGCAAGCTATATGGTTATAATGTATGAATGACCACAACGGTTTCTTTACACGCGGTGCACCACGCACTAAGAAAAACTTGTTTACATTTCAATTCGCCCGAAAATACTACCGCATGTTGTTTTTATATTATTATGTACAATAGCTGATGATAAAAAGAAAATTATGACCAATAGGTTTTATTTTTTTTTTTAATTTAAATTTAAATCTATTTTTATTTTTTTCTTCTCCTAGCGGTTTATTATTTTAGATAATTATTATATTATGACCGTTAATACAATGGATAATCGGATACACGCGCATTGTCACATATCTACTATAATGATAATAAGACACGCATGATGTGTTTCGCGGTATTCATTTTTTTTTATTACATACATTAAACAATTTTGTTATTCTAATTATTTACAATTTTTCCCTACAGGAAATGTGCCAAAGACCCAAGTTTATGGTGGAAGCGTCGAGGCTGTTGTCCCAAGGTAACGGAGTTGTGTCGTCCGGAGAAAATGCTCGAGGGCGGTGTGGCGTGGAACCTGGCGAATACGGAGACCACAGCTTCTTGGCCGCAGTCTCTTCGTTAACGCTCACGCCCAAATTCCTCGACCGGGTCGTGCCGCCAGACCAATCATTCGACACCACCACCTCATATTGCGGACTGTTCAGGTGAGTCGGTCACGACCAACAACCACGGCTATACTTGTACGAAAAGCGTATGGATGAAGTGCTGTTTAAATGATTTATATTATAATGCATATCAGCATATGGCATATGCAATAGGTGTACACGAGGGAGCTTGAAATGGAAGAGTGTGACAAAATATTTAAGGACTATAACATCTTTAAAGTAGCGAGTCTAGTCTACATTGTATTATTTTATAGCAAGCTCTTGTGGGGCCACCGTGAAGACGTATTTAATAAGCTATTTGTTTAATAACGCAGGCGAATAGATTTAATAACGAACTGGATTTTCTGAAAACCATATGACACGTATATAAGAGACCCTAATTAACCGTTTCTACACACTCTACTCTTCCTCCCGTCCTACATTTTAATCTATAATAACTTAAAAATAGTAATAATTCAAAACTGGTTATTGACCACTTAAAATGACAATACAATTGCTAGATCTCTCGAGATGTCAATTATTATGTCTGCAAACCGTCGGCTACTTGTTTGTGTTGTTTCATATATTCCGGCATGTAATGAGGCAGAACGGAACTTGGTAACATCGTCATGATGTGCTTGACTAGTAACAAATGCACGATGACGATTTTCATGGCAATCGCTTTCCGCATACTTATGTGTTGGTATTGGAACATTTTGAGTGCCTGGATGTATTTGGCACGGATTCCTTTATGATGCCGGTCATGGCTTGGCCGTAGTAATAATCGAACATGCTCGTGATGGACTGCCATTCGAGTTGGACTCTGTACGTATTTTCCAGAGTAATTTTCACCTCTACCCTCTCATACCCTGCAAGTAAATTATCAACTAAAAAGTAATGACTTCCACATGGGATGAAACCGACATGTGTGTTTCTCCGGGCCTGGATCCAAAATCTGGATTTGTTACTCATCACCTCCGAACTCGCACTCCCATCGATAGGTGCACTGTATTTGTACACTGTATTTATGTCTTGATATCCCCTGTGATCTGATTTCAAGAAGTGGGCTGTCTTCTCGACGAACGTGTGGAATAACCACATCAAGGCCTTAACAGTATTCCACTGTTCGTTTGGGTTGGCACTTTGCGTGCAACACAGCTAACATGGTTGCCGATTCCTCTGGGACTGTATGCGGTTTAATTATTTCTCGGTGGGATGTAGCAGAATCGTCGGATTAGAAATTTATATTTTGATGAGATGTAAGTGTCGCAAAGCGAAATACACATAACTACATTGCAGTTAGACGTAGGCTTCTTGCACGATATCGTCCAGAGAGTCTAGCGACAGATCTCACGGTGTCTACCATGATTAGATTCGGCTTAGCGGCATATTCACGGTCAAAAATCTGCAACCAAACCAGTGTGTCGGTCCTTTCATATTTGTTCACATCATCGTTATATTCCATCAAATTATCAATTCCCGTAACGTCACCAATTTGTTTGCAAACGGTAATCAATTTGCATAATAGCAAAACATAATTTACTATAAAAAGCGTTTTTTACAGTGACAAAGAAAAACGATTTTTTGCGCAAAATATGTAATACAAATTCATTTTTATCATCTTTTACAATTTGCATAAACGACTTTTGTTTATACATTTTTTTTAACATACAAATTGTGTAAAATTGTTCTTTCTCACGGTAAAAAGATCAACGACCTCATGTTGGCGTCACACGGTATTGATTCGAGCTAAATAATTATTTCATTTATTTGTTGGATTTTATACCGTTAATTGATATGATTATTCTACTGTTCTCGATTAGTCTTAATGACCTGAGTAAAACGAGAATGTGTCCGGATTGGCCTTAAATATAGTCTAGAAATACCAGAAACCAAATGATAACCTCGATGTTGTAACAAGTTTAAGCAAATAGCCCAAATTTTAGTTTGAGTTTGAGAAGAATTTGTGGGTAGGGGTATGCCTAATAAATATAATCTTATATATATAAATTTCAAGTCGACTCAATTTTTTTTTCCCTAATTTATAACAAATCACCCAAATATTATTTACTTAATTTTAATACTTGTTATTACATATTATGTTTGTTTGGTATTGGTGTTTACCTACATAATTGCCGCTTGGCGTTCTTAAATCTAAGTTAAATGTTGAAATACCGGTCAAATTCGGGTTTTTTCTGTAAAAATAAAATAAGTTATTATAAAAACAATTGTTTTCAACTTCGTGTCAATGCTAAAATACTATCGACATTTTTAAAAATTCTTATCTCAAAACGGTCATTGATAAAAAGAGAGACTTTTCTGATAGGTACTTTTTGTAAAGTAATCTTCTAACACATCTGAAATGCATAAGTCAAATAGTGTAAAACTGAACTATATCAATCAGTATTACTTGGTTATTATTTTTATTATAAAATGTTGGTGTTGATAAATTCATAAATTATGTAGCTTTTCATTAATTAAAAGTCTAAGGTTTATGAATTAGGGGGAGGGAGTTATAATGCAAATTTTTTTTTGTAAATTTAGCTTATTGCGTTCAAGAAAGTCCACAAAAGTGGCGTCTCTTAAAAAACTGCCCACTTTCAATCTCTTTATAACTGATACTATTGCAAGCGAAACTCAAATATTCAATACATTATGAATAATGAGGATTTAGTTAATTTTTAGCTTAAATCTGTCTAATCCGTGTTACCCTTTCGATATCACAATGTAATGGGGAAATCTTACTCGCCGACCAGCATGTAATTCATATGCTTGGCCGTGTAACCATTTGTAAACGGTAGAAAATTAGATAATCGAATTATCTGGTAAGACTTTCCGGCAAATTCGCCGCAGTTGTTTCGGTGTTTTTGTTTTTCTCCAAATCGAAATGACATTTTTATTTGTCACGTTATGATAGTAAGGTGCATGCCCTTTGTACGTGGTTCAGGCTGGCGATTAAAGACGTGTTATTTAAGCCGATGATATGACTTTTCTATATATAATGCGTTTACTCTAACGGTATTCGTCCGTATCCGAACGCCGTACCATTCCCACGGTGTACCCAGGCGGAGGACAGCTCGTGCACAACTGTTTTCGAGGTGTTCGAATCATGAATATTATTCATGTATAATATATACATTTATATATAAAGACCAATAAAGACTTCAAATGTGTGTGCTTACGTGCGTAGGAGAGTAAAAAAGCATAAAATACTTAACGCCAAAACACATCTAAATCGGTCGAGGCTTATACGTTTAATATATCATTCAAAATTACCATTATTTATAACCTCACCCCACTTAACCTAAAAAACGCAATTTAAACGGGATATTATACAGGAAAATGTCAAATTGCAGAGATTGTCATAATCAGCAAATGTATGTTGCAAGATTATTCAGAAACATTAAATTGTACCTTAAATAACTATTATGTAACTTCAACAAATTAAAAAAAAAAAAACACTAAAATATTCTTAAGTATATAGCCTAACAAAAATATGTGTATAATAGATGTGTTTATAGTGGTACTGAGGTTACAAATAAGTCACAAAATTGAATTTAGAAAAACCTAAATGAGATCTCACATCAAAATTGTTTTAACATTATTCGAGTATTGTTTTTTTCTCGTATTTGGTTGATACCAATAAGGAAACAACAAGTCAAGTCGGTAACTTTTTTGTGACCAGTTTGTCATTGCTTTTGTGTACGGACATAATAACAGTAATTATTACCTATTCTGCGACGGTTGTATAATGTATCAATCTTTCTAGAGTTCATCAAAGTGTGTCGCACAAATGACGCTTGAAAACCGCAGCACAAAGAAACAATATGCCCCTAACACCGAATGTGTGTGCAGCGTATGTATGTGTGTGTGTGTGTGTGTTTTTTATAACAACAAAATATGAATTCCGACAAGAATACTGCTTGTCATTTGCTATGATTTATGTGAGTTGCCATTCCGTTGGCCAAAAATAACGATACCGAAACTGTTGGCCACCCGAAGGTCAATTTGTAAAGCAAATTGTGTATAGCGGTCGCAAATAAGTAGCAACTAATGCTTTTTTTATTGCCTACTGATACACACCTTCGAGATAATCAAATCCGAAATCAGGTTCCATCGAAACGACAGCATTCAATTAATGGCAAGTTCAATAGATGTAATTTATGATTTAGCCCTTGTGTGATTGCTTACAAAGGAAAATATAATATAATACTGTAATATCTTACGTTATTGGGCGCTGATCTGAAAGGAGAGAGCTTAGCCGCTATAGTCCCTACCAAGTGCAATGGAATGCAGTTATTATATTGCTATACTGTGGGAAAATAGTAACATGACTATATTTGCATTAAAACTTTATTTAAAGATTACTTAAGTCATAACGATATCAAACCAGGCAAAAATTAATTCCCCAAATTCTAATATCTCGTTCGAGATATTTTGATGGCTTCCTAAAATTATAATAATAATAATAATAATAATATTCTATAATACGGAATCAACTCCATTTACAAAAATAGTATAATATATATAATAATAATAAATAGTATAATAATAACAGGTAGTATAATATAATAAATAATGAATAACATATGCTACAATAATTTAAAAATAATATGAATTTATAAGTCTTAACTAATTATCTATTTGACTTTAAATATGACTTGAGTGTATCAGTATTGACTATTGACAAAATTAAAAAAATCAATATCGGCTGTATTACCTGCTGCCATTAATATGTTTATTGGAGAGGTTTCTAGATTTTTTTTTTAAATTTATTTAAGTAGAACAAATCTTTAATTCGGGTATTGATTATAGGCACTTTAAACTGTAAACGCTCGACAAGGAATGGACAATTAATCGCACCAGCAATGAGTTTAAACAAAAATGTTATATTTTGGGTATTCCTTCTATATTGTAGAGAATCCATATTAAAAAAACCAGAAACTCCATTATAAGCAGAATGGGGTTCTCTTTGGACATGGCATTTAAAGGATAAATACCTTAAAAAGTTATTTTGAATTGATTCTATATCATGAGAATGAGAAATAGAATTATTGAAC